CTTCTCCCAATAGGATTAAATTATATTCTCACTTCCTCAACTGTTCACCTCTGTAATTTCAAACAACATATTTAAACCTGTAATTCTTTTGTTAGCAACTACACACAGTTACCTATTCATACTCCACTGGAAAGGAAACCAGCTACTCCTCTATATTATTTCACTGTCTTCCTCAACTTGACTTTAGTATTACAGGACGCTCTTGTCAGAAAGGTGCAATTTGAAAATAAAATTTATTGTTTATTTTAGGAACTTTGTGAAAACCCATTTAAATGAACATCCGACTGCTGAAGCTTTCAATAGATAGTACCAAATGACTGTTTACTCTCCCAGAGTCTTTGAACCCCTCACCCAAAAATCCTTGCTTTGCTGTGTCCACCAATCCTAAACCTTATGTCATGATACTCAGCTAATCCTAATTAAGCCCATACAGTGAAAAACCTCCTTTAAGCCAGACCTCAAAAAAAGCTTTATAAATATCCCAACCTTGTCCTTGCCCTTCTGAGATGCTTCTAGGACTTTTAAAAGGTATTTTCTCCCTTACCACAGTGAGCAATAAACTCAGTTTTGCCTTATCAACAGGTTAGTACGGTGGTATTTTGCAGCCAGCATTCAACAATTTTGGCAGTCCCACTGAGATGCCATTGAGACTGCTTCACCACCAGGACCCAAGACTGTCAGTTCAGAAACAGTGCTCCTCACACTCCTCTGTCTCCTGCTGGGATGTCTCTGACATTGACACTGAAGTTTCTAAGTCCTGCATTAGGCCTGACTCATTTCTTTTTTATTTCTTTTCTTTGAGCTCCCCAAATGCTGAACATACTTTGTGTCCCAGGATTAAGAAATCCGTTCTAGGAATCCTTTGGTTATCTGATCAGATTGGAAAAACTATTATCCTTGGTAGAAATCTGCCTTATTAGTAAAAGCACTAGTAGTTGTTTCTGTCTTTCCCATTTCTTGTTGTGCATCTTTAAGATGAAAGTTCAAAGCAGAGAGGAAAAAGACCCAGAGTCTTTTCCTCAAGCTAGCCCCAAGGACTAAGAAATTCAGAACGTTTTGTTGGGGAGGAAAAAGTTTTCCTTGATCCTCTTAAGGTCCTGGCTGGGTCTGAAAGTTAAACCAACAAAGACAGATTAACAGGAGAAAAGCAAACAAATTTATTAATATAAGATTTTATGTGACACAGTAGCCTTCATAAAGAAATGAAGACCCAAAGAAATGGTTAAGCCTGAGTATTTTTATGCTAGGACTGATGAAGAGTGGACAGTTGTGGATAAATATGATAGGGCAAAGAGCACGAGATAAGTTTAGGAAAACGGGGAAGTTTAGCAAAGGCTGTTTCTTCAGATTCTTCTCGACTTCCTGCTTCAGGAAAGAAGGGCAGGAGTGGTGGGAAGGTCAGAGTGACTGTCATGCTTCTGCTGTTTTCTCAAACTCCTTCAGCTTAAAATATTCAGTTTGCCAAGGTGCCATATTTTTGGGTAGTGCATCTTGAACCCCATCAATTTCTTCTTGACCAGCATCCTTTGGACAAACTATACATTGGGTCAGTTTTCAAAAGCTTATAAGGACTTTCCTTCCTCTTGCTGTTCCATCTGTGGGACTTTGATTCTGGGAGAGATGTCTTCTCCAACCTTTCTGTCCCATGGAAACTGGGAATTCATCAAGTTTGCCAATGGAGATGGCTCAGCCATTTGGATGGGGACCCAAGTCACAATGTGACACTTTTTTTTTTTTATTTTTTTTATTGAGTTATTGATAGGTTACAATCTTGTGAAATTTCAATTGTACATTAATGTTTGCCAGAAGTGGTAGGTGCACCACTTCACCCTTTGTGCCCACCCCCCAGCCCACCTTTCCCCTGGTATCCACTAAACAGTTCTTGGTCCATAGTTTTAAATTCCTCATATGAGTGGAGTCATACACAGATTATCTTTCTCTCGCTGGCTTATTTCACTTAACATAATTCTCTCAAGGTCCATCCATGTTATTGCAAATGGAGTGATTTTGTTCTGTTTTGCAGCTGAGTAGTATTCCATTGTATATATGTACCACATCTTCTTTATCCATTCATCTGTTGATGGGCACTTAGGTTGCTTCCACATCTTGGCTATTGTAAACAGTGCTGCAATAAACATTGGGGTGCACAGGACTTTTGGGATTGCTGACTTCAGGCTCTTTGGATAAATACCCAGTAGTGAAATGGCTGGATCGTATGGTAGTTCTATTTTTAGTTTTTTGAGGAATCTCCATACTGTTTTCCATAGTGGCTGCACCAGTTTGCATTCCCACCAGCAGTGTATGAGGGTTCCTTTTTCTCTGCAACCTCTCCAACATTTGTTGCTATTAGTTTTAGATATTTTTGTCATTCTAACGGGTGTAAGGTGATATCTTAGTGTAGTTTTGATTTGCATTTCCCTGATGATCAGCGATGATGAGCATCTTTTCATGTGCCTATTGGCCATCAGTATATCTTCTTTGGAGAAATGTCTGTTCATGTCTCCAGCCCATTTTTTGATTGGGTTGTTTGATGTTTTGTGGTTGAGTTGAGAGAGTTCTTTATATATTAAGGATATTAAGCCTTTGTCAGATATATGACTTGCAAATATTTTTTCCCAGTTAGTGGGTTGTTTTTTTGTTTCAATCCTGTTTTCATTTGCCTTGAAGAAGCTCTTTAATCTGATGAAGTCCCATTTGTTTATTCTTTCTATTGTTTCCCTTCTCTGAGAAGACATGGTGTCTGAAAAGATCCTTTTAATGCTGATGTCAAAGAGTGTACTGCCTACGTTTTCTTCCAGAAGCCTTATGGCTTCAGGTCTCACCTTTAGGTCTTTAATCCATTTTGAGTTTATTTTGGTGAATGGTGAAAAAGAATGGTCAATTTTCATTCTTTTACATGTGGCTTTCCAGTTTTCCCAGCACCATTTGTTGAAAAGACTTTCTTTTCTCCATTGTATGCCCTCAGCTCCTTTGTCAAAGATAAGCTGTTCATAGATGTGTGGTTTTATTTCTGGGCTTTCAATTCTGTTCCATTGATCTGTGCACCTGTTTTTGTACCAGTACCATGCTGTTTTGATTACTGTAGCTTTGTAGTATGTTTTGAAGTCAGAGATTGTGATGCCTCCCGTTTTGTTCTTTTTTCTCAGGATTGCTTTAGAAATTCGGGGTCTTTTGTTGCCCCATATGAATTTTAGGATTCTTTGTTCTAATTCTGTAAAGAATGTCATTGGGATTCTGATTGGGATGGCGCTGAATCTGTAGATTGCTTTAGGTAGAATGGACATTTTAACTATGTTTATTCTTCCAATCCATGTACATGGAATGTCTTTCCATCTCCTTATGTCGTCATCCAATTCTCTCAGAAAGGCCTTATAATTTTCATTATATAGGTCCCTCACTTCCTTAGTTAAATTTACCCCAAGGTATTTTATTCTTTTTGTTGCGATTGTGAATGGTATTGTATTCTTGAGTTCTTTTTCTGTTAGTTCGTTATTGGAGTATAGAAATGCTACTGATTTATGCAAATTGATTTTGTACCCTGCAACTTTGCTGTAGTTGTTGATTACTTCTAAGAGTTTTCCAATGGATTCTTTGGGGTTTTCTATATATAAGATCATGTCGTCGGCAAACAGCGAGAGTTTCACAATGTGACACTTTTAACCAACTGTTTCCACAACCTCTCATGGGTTTGTCTCAGTCTAAAGCTAATGATTCAACCTTCCAGGCCATACTCCTGCTTCTTACATGTATTCAAACAAAATCCAAAGTCATGAACTTACTTCCTAAATGACATAATTTCACCAAAGACAATTTAGAATTACAGAATTTTTGATAGAACCAAACGCATTCATTTGAGAAACACCTTAGAATGAAAAGGGAGTAAATACCAAATGGTCTGCTTTCTTTTTTTGCAAGGAAGACTGGCCCTGAGCTAACATCTGTTGCCAATCTTCCTCTTTTTTTTGCTAAGGATGATTAGCCCTGAGCTAACATCTGTGCCCATCTTTCTCTATTTTGTATATGGAATGCCACTACAGCATGGCTTGATGAGTGGTGCTAGGTCTGCACCCGGAATTCATACCTGTGAACCCTGGGCCAGCAAAGCAGAGTGCGTGAACTTAATCATTATGCCACTGGGCCAGCCCCTCAAATGGTCTGCATTTTTGATTGATATGAAGAAGTATCCAAAAGAAATTCAACTCCAAATTGTTTCCTTCAGAGACTCCTTGGTCAAGGCAAAGGAAAAATGTGAAACACTTAAAACTATTTTTCTTTTAGATCTTCCACAACTCGAACCTTGAAACAAATGGCGCTTGCCTTCCTCTTCCTCTTGCCCCATCCTATGCCCTTCCATTTGCCTCTGCTTCTCTCTTCTTCACCCACTCCACTTCTCTCCTGGCTGGCCAGAAACCCTCTAAGCTCAATTATACCTTAAAGTTAAAGACCATTCAGAACAGGGAAACCCTCTGGCTTTTATCAATCTGAGCTGAGAGCCAGTGAAAAAAGACTTTCTTCGAAAAACAAGAAAAATCATAAATAAACAAGCTTACACTAAACCTAAACAAACTAGAAAAAGAAGAACAAATAAATCCCAAAGTTGGTAGAAGGAAGGAAATAATAAAAACCAGAGCAGAAATAAATGAAATAGACTAAGAAAACAGTAGAAAGGATTAATGAGACAAAGAGCTGGTTCTTTGAGAAGATAAAGAAAATTGACAAATCCTTGGCCAGACTCACCGAGAAAAAAGATGGAAGACTGAAATAAATAAAATCAGAAATGAAAGAGGACACCACAGAATTACAACAGACACCACAGAAATACAAAAGGTTATAAGAGAATACTATGAAAAGCTATACACCAACAAACTTGATAACCTAGAAAAAATGGATAAATTATTAGAATTATACAACATCCCAAAACTGAATCAAGAAGAAAGAGAGAATCTGAATAGACCAATCACAAGCAGAGAGATTGAAACAGTAATCAAAAACCTCCCCATAGGTCATTTCGAAGAGGGCTTGTGAACCAGGAGTTCTTAATGCTGTGATCAAAGACTGAAGTTCTCTATTGGTTGTAATAGTCACTCAAAAGTGCTGTTTTCCTGAGAAGATATAAAATTTAGCCACTTATACCCATGAGTGAGTGAGTGATGTGGGGAAGTAAATAAAATGTTGCTCAAGTTTAAAAAACAAAACCAAAAAACCTCCCCCAAAACAAAAGTCCAAGACCAGATGGCTTCTCTGGTGAATTTTACCAAACATTCAAAGCAAACCTAATTTCTATTCTTCTCAAATTATTCTGAAAAATTTAAGAGGACAGGGCACTTCCTAACTCATTTTATGAGGGCAACACTACCCTGATACCCAAACCAGACAAGGACAATACGAAAAAGAGAAATTACAGGCCAATATAGCTGATGACCATAGGTGCAAAAATCCTCAACAAAATATTAGCACATTAAATACAACAATACATTAACAGGCTCATACACCATGATCAAGTGGGATTTATTCCAGGGATGCAGGGATGGTTCGACATCCGCAAATCAATCAATGTGATACATCACATTAACAAAACGAGGAATAAAAACCACATGATCATCTCAATAGATCAAGAGAAAGCATTTGACAAGATCCAACAGCCATTTATGATAAAAACTCTCAATAAAATTGGTATAGAAGGAAAGTATCTCAACATAATAAAGGACATATATGACAAACCCACAGCCAACCTCATACTCATCGGTGAAAAACTGAAAGCCATTCCTCTGAAAGCAGGAACAAGACAAGGGTGCCCACTCTTGTCACTCTTATTCAACATAGTGCTGGAAGTTTTAGCCAGAGCAATCAGGGAAGAAAAAGATATAAAAGTGATCTAAATTGGAAAGGAAGAAGTAAAACTCTCACTGTTTGTGGATGACATGATTCTATATGTGGAAAACCCTAAAGAATCTACCAGAAAACTATTAGACGTAATCGACAGCTACAGAAAGGTACAGAATACAAAATCAACATACAAAATCAGTTGCATTTCTATATATTACTAACAAACTAGCAGAAAGAGAAATCAAAACTACAATCCTATTTACAATCACAACAAAAAGAACGAAATACCTACCAATAAATTTAACCAAGGAAATGAAAGACCCACACACTGAAAACTATAAGACATTATTGAAAGAAATTGAAGAAGACAAAAGGAAATGGAAAGATATTCCATGTTCATGGATTGGAAGAATAAACATAGTTAAAATGTCCATATTACCTGAAGTAATCTACAGATCCAATGCAATCCCAATAGAAATTCCAATCACATTCTTCATTGAAATAGAACAAAGAATCCTAAAATTTATATGGAACAACAAAATACCCCGAATAGCCAAAGCAATCTTGAGAAAAAATAACAAGGCTGGAGGCACCACAATTCCCGACTTCAAAATATACCACAAAGCTATAGTAATCAAAACAACATGGTACTGGCAGAAAAACAGACACACAGACCAATAGAACAGAATTTAAAGCCCAGAAATAAAACCACACATCTATGGAAAGCTAATTTTCGACAAAGGGGCCAAGAACATACAATGGGGGAAGGAGAGTCTCTTCAATAAATGGTGTTAGGGAAGCTGGACATGCAAAAGAATGAAAGTAGACCATTGTCTTATACCATACACAAAAATTAACTCAAAATGGATTAAAGACTTGAATGTCAGACCTGAAACCATAAAACTCCAAGAAGAAAATATAGGCAGTACATTCTTTGACATCGGTCTTAGCAGTATCTTTTTGAATATCATGTCTACACAGGCAGGGGAAACAAAAGAAAAAATAAACAATTGGGACTACATCAGACTAAAAAGCTTGTGCAAGGCAAAGGAAACCATGAACAAAAAGAAAAGACACCCCACCAACTGGGAGAAAATATTTGCAAATAATATATCTGACAAAGGGTTAATTTCCAAAATAACATAAAGAACTCATACAACTCAACAACAACAGCAAAACAAACAACCTGATCAAAAAATGGGCAGATGATATGAACAGACATTTTTCCAAAGAAGATATACAGATGGCCAAACAGACACATGAAAAGAAGTTCAACATCCCTAATTATTAGGGAAATGCAAATCAAAACTACAATGAGACATCACCTTACACCTGTCAGAATGGCTATAATTAACAAGACAATAAACAAATGTTGGAGAGGATGTGGAGAAAAGGGAACCCTCATATACTGCTGGTGGGAATGAAAATTAATGCAGCCACTATGGAAAATAATATGAAGATTTCTCAAAAAATTAACAATAGAGATACTGTATGACCTAGCTATCCCACTACTGGCTATTTATCCAGAGAACTTGAAATCAACAATTCAAAGAGATTTATGCATCCCTGTGTTCATTGTACCATTATTCACAATAGCCAAGATGTAGAAGCAACCCATGTGCCCATCAATGGATGAATTGATAAAGAAGATGTGGTATATAGATTCAATGGGATACTACTCAGCCATAAAAAAGACAAAATCGTACCATTTACGACAACATGGATGGACGTTGAGGGTATTATGTTAAGCAAGATAAGCCAGACAGGGAAAGACAAATGCTGTATGATTTCACTCATATGCAAGCTAAACAAACACATGGATAATGAGAACAGATTACTGGTTACCAGAGGGGAAGGGGGGGCAAAAGGGGCAAAGGGGCACCTATGTATGGTGACGGATAAAAGCTAGATGGATAAAAGGTGGTGAACAGGCTGTCTATACAGAAACTGATATATAATAATGTATGCCTGAAATTTACACAGTGTTATAAGCCAGTATGACCTTAATAAAATAATTTTTTTAAAAAAAGAAAAAAGACTTTCCATACTGAGACAAGAGATAGTGAAATTTGCAGAGGAATTTAGAATAGTTTTAGTTGTGTATAATCCAGGGTTCCCAGATCTACACCCATTAGTTCATACATTAGTGGGAACCTCAAATGCAAAAAATCAGATGGAGAAGGCAGAATGAGAAGACGATGAGGATGACTTACAAGACCAGAATTGCGTCAGAAGCTCTGATTCAGTCCTAGAAGAAATAAAGATGAGTCCATCTGAGACTTCAAGGATAAGCTCTTTAACACCTTTAGACAGCATTCAGAAGTAGATCCTGAAGCAGAGGTGACTCTGGCTCTCTCCTCACATTTTGAGAATGGTCTTAAACCAGAAATAGTGGATTTAATATGCAAGTGAAATCTAAAATGGAAAAAGAGTCCTGTTGCCAGACCATTCATAAGAGTGGTCTAAAACTCTTAGAACAAAAATAGAATAAGATTTGCCACCGTAATGCTCTCCACTACTGCAGTAAGCAATACACTCAGCTTTGCTGTATCAACAGGTTATTTGGGTGGTATTTCTAGGGCACTCAATTCCACTTTGTAAAAGAAGGTCACTAATTCTCCCATCTTTCCCCCACCTCTCTGTCACCTTCCACCTCCCAACTTCTGTCAACTGTGCCTTTACTTTTATATTTTTGCCAAGGTTAATAATATTTATGGTCTATTATATAACCACGGTTATTTTCCATTATTTGTCTAATGGTGTATTTTAAATATTGAAAACCACCACTGAAAGTCATATCAACGTTCAGGTTGTTCATATTTGAATCTTGACTTTTTTATTTAAATCTCTCCTTTTCTCCTCACTCTTCCCCTCCACTTCAGAGTTTCTAAAAGGCCTGTCTTTTATTCTTGAACTCTATGCCTTTATCATGCTCTCAGTTTTTTCCTAAAATCTCTAATACATTGGCTGTTTCATCAAATTGCCATTTTCTCCCCAGAAACCTTCTTCCTGGAGTCCTCCATCTTCCTGCTCCAATCTGGACTGTCTGCTCTGTAGATTCTCTACCCAGCTGGTGCTTTTTGGACTATCATGTCTGAAAATTTCTGTATTTTGCCATCACATTTGATTGACAGTTAGATGAGGTATAGATTTCTGAGTTAAAAACTAACTTTTCTTAGAACTTTGAAGGCATTGCTTCATTGTATTTTAGCTTCCCATGTTTTTGATGAGAAATTTGATGCCAATCTAAGCCTTGTTCCCTTTACTCTCTGGAAGCTTTTAGTATGTTCTACTTATTCTTGGTTTTTTGAAATTGTATAACAACGTGTATAGATGTAGATAATTTTTCTTTCATTCTGCCTAGCATTTGCTAGACCCTTAAAATGTCAAGACTTTTACTTCCTTTCAGTTCTGGGATATTTTCTTGTATTATTTCCTTGATCACTTCTGCTCCATTTGCTTGGTTCTCTCTTTCCGGAATCCTACTATTGAAATGGGGGAACTTCTACTCCTATTTCAGAAATCTTATCTCCTATTTTCTGTTTCTTTGTTTTTCTTCCTCTCCATTTTTGGTTACTCTTTTCTACTTCATTTTCTATTATTATATTATTTTTGGAAATCATATTTTTAATTTCCAAGAGGTCTTTATTTATTTATTTTAAAGATTTTATTTTTTCCCTTTTTCTCCCCAAAGACCCCCAGTACATAGTTGTATATTCTTCGTTGTGGGTCCTTCTAGTTGTGGCATGTGGGACGCTGCCTCAGCGTGGCTTGATGAGCAGTGCCATGTCCGCGCCCAGGATTCAAACCAACTAAACACTGGGCCGCTTTCAGCGGAGCGCATGAACTTAACCACTCGGCCACGGGGCCAGCCCTCAGGTCTTTATTTTTTAATTGTCCCTCTTTTTAGTCTATCTATCCATCTATCTAGTATACTCTGCCATTCTGATTTTTTAATACAATACACTAGAGGCTCTTTTAACCGACTTCCATCAACCAGCTTACTGGATAAACAGACACTTTCCAGTCCCTCTGAGAAACACAGTGACTGGTGCTCATGACTTACTGCATGCCCATGGCTATTCAGCCACTCACAGGTTTTCCCACATTCCTACTTCCATCAGCTGAGTGGAATATCTATGAAGAAGAGTTGTGGTTTTTTCCCCAAATCTATTTATGCTAATGGTGGTTTATTTTCATATATAGATATATAAACTATGATGAAAACTAATGAAATATGAAGAGAGTTGTTACTTCCATGAAAACTAAGTTGAATGTTTGGAAAGACTTGA